GAAAGGAGCGAGTTTGAAACAATATAGTTAATTTATTGGTGTGTAGTAATGCTATCGTAAAATCTACTCGGTTGTATGTTTATGCATTTTCTATTGGAATGATGCTTTCAAATGGATGCACATCCATTTTATTTTAACATTTAGAACATGATTCCTATAATGAAATCTAGAAAATACGACTGAAGTGAAAGTGAGTAGATATTTTTTAATCACATTCTTATTAATAATACTAATAATAATAATTCTTAATAAATAGATTATTTTCTACAATTTTTTAAATAAATTTTATACCAAAAAATTTCTGACACCTTTAAGGTTCATTGCAAAGGCGTTGAACGTCAAAAGTCTGAAACTTAAAAGCAAAAATCGACTTTAAGTAATAAGGAGGAATGATTAATTACAGATCAGATAGGTCAGTCACAAGGGAACGTTCACAAGTGTCCCCCCTCCCCGATTTGATTCTCCTTGAAATATGTTGTAAAACATACAATTTGAGGAGACACGTATTTTTTATAGCGGCTCTAACTCAAATTTAAGGGGTGAAACACCCCTTTGAAAAAAAACGGTTTTTTTCTTTGTGTGTAACGGTGTCGCCAAAACCGTAGGAGATATAAAGAAATGTTTCAAATAGAAGTAATATGACTTGTAATGGGTTTTATAATTGTGTAGTTGGATTTTCAAAAAATGTTATTTTTTTAATTTACCCTCACCCTTATTATTTTTTTGAATTTCAACATTTTTGTAATGACAAAAGTTGTAGCATTTTTTACGCTGAATTCAACCATATATGATTTTATTATATTCCGAAATCGCATCTTTCAAAAATGAGTCATCAGTATCACATTATATGCGTCGCGCTGCATGACGCATTGTTTATACCGCACTTGTGTAGTGCATAGTCGCAAAATAAATATAAAAATGACATTTTATTACATATTTGGGGAAAAAAAAGTTTACTAAAAATTGTTGCTAAAGCATCCCTTTCACATTACATTCTTATAGATAATCGCTGCATTTCGTGCGCAGCGCGTGTCATATGCAAGTTAGCTATACATGTGTATATAAAATGTGAATATTATTTAATCATAAAATTAAGAAAAACAAGTATAAATATATTATTAATTTGAAAAACATCACGTTTGAGAGACGTGATCTCACACGAAAAGGT